ACAGCCTCTGCCTTCAAGGAGGCCTTTAGGGCCTCCCTGGTGGCCTAGGGGTTAAGTCTCGATATCACTGCTGTGGCCTGAGTTCCATCCCTGGCCACAGAGCTCTCGACCCACATGGCGCAGCAGACCTTTCCTGTCTCGCCCGCTGCTCCCCTTAGCAGTGAATTTTAGTAGATCTGCTTGTTCTGCTCCCCACTGTGTCTTTGGTGAATCCTCTCACCCCTGAACCTCTGGCCTGTACCCCAGTTCTTGTATGCATAAATAAATAAATCTTAAAAAAAAAAACAAACACTTCAAATGAAAATAATAAAGGGCCTCCCTGGTTGAGCAGGGAGTTGAGCGCAGCGCTGTGAGGCTGTCCGCAGCCTCTGCAGCACAGATTTGATTCCCAGCCAGCCAGGGAGATTCCCACATGGCGAGGCAGACCTCTCCTGCCTTGCCCGCTGATCTCCTCAGCAGTGTCTTGGATCCGTCCGCCTGTTCTGCTCCCCACTCTGTCTCTGGTGAATCCTCTCGCCCTCCGGCACCTCTGGCCTACACCCCATTTCTTGTATAAATAAAAATAAATCTGAAAAAATTTTTTTAAAAAATGGGAAAATGAAAATAATATAGATTAAAACGTAAATTGAATAATTTAAAAATGGGCAAAGGTTCATATAGACATTTCTCCAAAGCAGATGAAAAAGTGTTCATCATCATTAGTCATTAGGAAAATGCAAATCAAAACCACAGTGAGATATCACTTCGTACCCACTAGGAAGACTGTAGTAAAGAAGACAGATAATAACAAATATGGTTAAGAATGTTATGAAGTTGGAACCTTCATACATTGCTGGTGGGTAAAATGGTGCAACCACTTTGAAAAACAGACTGGTGACTCCTAAAAAAATAAATGTAGAATTATCATAGGACCTAGCAATTCTATCTAGCAATTCAATTAGGTATCTATCCAAGAGATCTAAAAATACATGTTGGAAAAATTAAATTCTTCCACTCTATGAACATGCTAGACCTCTCCATTGACTTAAGTCATCTTTAATTTCTCTCACCAGTGTTTTATAGCTTTGTGCATACAAATCTGGAGCATATTCTGTTAGATGTATACCAAAGTGTTTCATTTTGTTGTTGCTGCTGTATTACAATTGGAACTATTTGAAATTTCAGTTTTTAATTGTTCATTGCTACCATACAGAAACACAATAGATTTTCATAAACTGACTTTGATCCTGCGACCTGGCTAAACTATGTGAAATTCTCCTTGTCATAGAGTTGCTTCTTTATTTGTGACAATAAGAATTATGAGTTTCACACTGCAACACAACAAAAAACCTAAAATATTGAAAGTAAATTTGCTGAAATGTCCATTCTCACAAACTGATTTTCAGATTCAACACAATTCCAATCAAAATCCCAGAGTGTTGAAATAGAACTGAACAAGCTGATTCTAAAATTTACATGGAGAGCCTCCCAGGTGGCGCAAGAGGTTAAGACACAACCTATGAAGCTAGTCGCAACCACTGCAGCATGAGTTCGATCCCCTGCCAGGGAGAAACCACATGGCACAGCAGACCTCTCCTCCTTTAGCAGTGTATTTCCATTGATCTGCCTGTTCTGTTCCCCATTCCTGGTGAATCTTCTCATCTCCCGCACCTCTGGCCTGTACCCCAGTTCTCACATGCATAAATAAATAAATCTTTAAAATTTACATGGAAAAGCAAATGAACCAAGATCTTGAAAAAGAAGAAAGTTTGGAGGCCTCACAATACCTGATTTCCAGTCTGACTTTAAAGCTACAGTCACGGAGACAACACTGTCTATTGTTGAGAGCATACAGATATATCAGTGAGCCCAAAAGGGGTCCTGAGCAGGCCTGCCTGTATGGGTGGCCAACTGATCTTCACAGAGACAATTCAATGGGAGAAAGGACAAAAACTGAACCTTGACCATAACTCAGATAATACACAAAAATTAACTCAAAATGTATCAAAATTTGAATGCAAAGCCTAGAACTATAAAACTTCTGGAAGAAAACAGGGAAAACAGAAAACATTAAAATTCTTTGTGAACTTGGGGTAGGCAAAGAATGAAATAGAATGCAAAGACAAACCACAAACTGAGAAATTTTTATTTATGCATAGGAGAACTGGAGTACAGGCCAGAGGTGTGGGGGGTTAGAATATTTGTAATATTTGTAAATCATATGTTTGATAAAGGACTTATACCCAGAATAAAGATCTTTCAAAACTCAATACTAAGAAAACAAACAACCCAGTAAAAATATGTGCAAAAGATTTGGACACATCACCACAGAAGATATGCAGATAGGCAAAAGAAAAAAGAAAAAAATCCATAAATAACAAAAAGCAAAACCAAAAATGGAACAAGATCATTTGAGATAACTATAAGTGTTATAAAGAAAATGAATGAGGAAATACGGTCAAGAGTGCCCAGGGGTGTCATTCAGATTAGGAGGAACAAGCTATGAAGAGGATCTTTCAGATGGTGCATGTTGGTTAAAAAATCTTTAATTTTAGGGCCTCCCCCGGTGGCGCAGTGGTTGAGTGCTGGGTTGCGAAGTTGCCTGCAGCCTCTGCAGCGCCAGTTCAATCCCCGGCCTCACTGGGTGAGGGTCCCACATGGCGCGCAGACCTCTCCTGCCGCCCGCTGCTCCTCTCAGCAGTGTACTTCGGTCCTTCTGCCTGCTCTGTTCCCTGCTCTGGCTCTGGTGAATTCTCTAGCCCTCCCGTGCTTCTGACTGTACCCAGTGCTTGTATGAATAAATAAATAAATCTTTAAAAAAAAAAAATCTTTAATTTTAGAGAAAAAGAGGCAAAGTTAGAGACCCCATCCAAAGTGAGGCACCAGAATTAACGGGTGTCACTGACAAAGGACTGCAAATGTTTTTCCCCCCAAATTTACACATAACTCAATTGCTGTGGGAATAGAATGCAGTTCCCCACATTCACCAGTGTTATGTAAAGTTGGTTTGGTTTTATTTTTGTAAACAGTGGCATTTGGCCATATTACATATTGATTTTTTTTTTTTAACCTTTATGCTTGTATCTAAAAAAAGGCAGGTGAGTGAGGGTAGGGGAGGAGTAAGGAGTCACCTGTATGAACAAGGGTTCTGGCAAAAGGCTGGAAACACTTAGGCATTTTATTTTAAAAGCACAGCATGCAAATATAACACTTGAAAGACTATAAACTGGGAGAAATGAAACAGCAGATAGAATAATGAAGTTATTCAAATTTTTGGACAAATGTTACAAGGTAATAGAATGAGGTTTAAAAAAATTAATTAATACTGATTTTGGCAAGTCATGTATCTGCTCTGAGCCTCCATTTCTGTCCCATGGGTAAAATGAGGGTGTTAACATTGGAGGGTGTTTGTGGGACCTTCCAACCCTAAACTTCCGAGTATCCTTAGAAAATAGGAGGGGCCTCAAGGCTTGGGGAAGCCACTTAGACACTTTTTAAAAACTCACTCATTTGGAGTTCGGTTTTTAAAACAATTTCCTTCTGGTGCAATAAGCCAGGTAAGGATGAATAAGTGAGAATATTTCCCAAGGCTCGATGAAAAGAGGAGGGAAGAAAAAACAGCTATGAAAACAGCTGTGATGCTCAAAAGGAACACTATGCTGTCGACAACATGGGGGGGGCGGAGAGGGGGAGAGAGAGAGAAGGAGGGAGGGAGGAAAATGAATGAATATAGGTGAGAATTACTGGGAAGGAAACTGTCAGTTCCACCATTTTTACTCTATTTCCTTTCTTTACAGAGAAAAGCCCAGTTTGAATTTCCTCTCAACTGCAAAGGCGGTAGCAGAGGCCACAGCAACGCTTACCCATTTTTTGTACATGAAACAAGCACAACCCCAGAGACACCCTTTGTCTGCACCGTCCGGGTCTGATCCATCCATTTTTAAGGTCCATTCGCCTTGAGCCTCCCATCCAAGCCCGCAAACACCATCTCCTCCGGCAGCAGCGGCTGGGGCGGCCCCGGGAGGCCGCGGGCCGGGCCGCCCCCCCCACCCCCGCCGCACGCTGGGGCTCCTCGCCTCCCGGGACCTGGGGGGTCTGGGGGCCTGGGGGGGTCCGGGGGCCTGAGGGGGTCCGGGGACCTGGGAGGGTCCGGGGGCCTGGGGGTTCCGGGGGCCTGAGGGGGTCCGGGGACCTGGGGTGGGGGGTCCGGGGGCCTGAGGGGCCCGGGGACCTGGGGGTTCCGGGGGCGTGAGGGGGTCCGGGGACCTGGGGTGGGGGGTCCGGGGGCCTGGGGGTTCCGGGGGCCTAAGGGGGTCCGGGGACCTGGGGGGGCCCGGGGACCAGGCGCGACCCCGCCCGGGAAGTCAAGACCGGGGCGCGACGGGCGGGGGGCGGGCTCCGCCCGCAGAGCGCGCCCCGGGAGTCGCCTCTCCCCGCCGGCCGCGCGGGGCTCCCAGGGGGCTCGGGGGACCGCGGCCGCCCGGCGGGGGCGGGGGAGGGGCGGGGAACGGGGGGGCCGCGGCCGGGCTCGCGCCGTCACGACTCGCGAGGAGGGTGGGCGAGGAGGGGCGGGCGGGAAGGGAGGGGACCGGGGTCTCCGGGGAGAAGGGCGCGGGGAGGGGCGCGCGGACGCGGGAGGCGGCGGCGCGGGGAGAGCGCGGGAGCCGGGGCGGGAGCCGGGCGGCGGGTGCAGGCGCGGGGAGCGGACGGGAGAGGCGGCGGGGAGGGGAGAGAAACGGGGTGCGGAGGCGAGGGGTGCGGGGGTGAGGGTGGGGGGCGGGGGCGGAGACGGGGCGCGGGCGCTGCGGCGCGGAGGGCGGGGGGGAGGGGCGCGGGCGGCGGGGGGGCGCGAGGGGCGCGGCCGCGCGGGCCGGGGGCGCTGCGCGAGGAGGCGGCGCGGGGCCGCGGGGCCGCGGGGCAGAAGGGGAGAGGGGCAGCGGGGTAACGGGGCAGCGGGGCTCCCTGGCGGGCGGGCGGGCGGGCGGGCGCGGCTCCCGGCCGGGGGGACCCGCCGCACTTACTCTCTCCGACCACGGCCTTGAGGCCGATGGGGGCCATCGCGCCGCGCGTGTCTCCGGCTCCGAGCCTGCTCCCGCGACGCCCGCGGCCTCCGCGCTCCGCCCGCCGCCGCCCGCCGCCCGCCGCCCGCCGCCCGCCGCCGCCGGCACCGACTGACGCGCGGACCCGGCGCGGGGCGCGGCGCGGGCCAGAGCGAGGCTGCCGACCCGCCGGCGCGCGCGGGGGCGGGGCCGCGGGGGCGGGGCCTCGCGCTGCCGTCAGCGGCCCCCGCACGCCTCCGCCAATCGCACGGCGGCCCGGGCCTCGGCCCCGCCCCCCGGGATGCGGCTGGGCGCGCGGCGGCCTGGGGCGGGGGCGGGAGCCGCGCCCTCCTCCTCGGCGCGCGCGCCCCGACTCCCGCGCGCTCCCGGGGCGCTGGGGCCCCGAGTCTCCTTGCCGCCTCCGCGTCAGAATCCCGGCCAGGCTGCGGGCTGGCTCCGTCTCCCCGACACCCGGCCAAGGGCCTTTCTGGGCGCCTTCCATGCCCCCCCGGACACCTGCCCTCTTCGGGCGGTACCCGCTCGTCCCCCCGGGGCGCAGCGTGCGGCACCGGCGCCGTCTCTGTCTCGGGGGTGCCGACGTCGCGGAACCCACCACTCGCTGAGCTCTTGCGTGTCAGGCTGGGGCTAAGGGTCCTACATGCATCATCTCACTAAATCTTCACAATACTAGGCCATTGTTTAAAATTCCATTTCCAGATAATAATAATAAAGATTCTGAGATTATAATGAGGTTCAGAGATACGGAGGACTAGTTTTGCTGTCAGGCTGTGTATCATTTATAGCAAATATTTATTGGGCTTCCACTGCAGTGTGTAAGCCACTCTTCTGGGGTGGAACTACAGCCATGTGCGAGGCCCACTGGATCTCCGTCTCTGGACAAAGCCTAGAGAGTCCCAAGTCCCAAATCAGGAAAGCGCTGTGGGACAACTCTGGTCTCAGTATCTCCTTCCCTGAGTCCATGTTTACTGGCCCCTGGTCAGTTTTCATTGGACCTTCTTTGTTGATAGGAGAGATTACTTTTTGAAATATGAGACGGGACTCACCTCTGACTTCCAAGAGAAACAAATGAGTTAAGCCAATTAAAAATCAAAAAGGATGGAGAGCTAGTAGTAGTATAATCAACGCACACTCATTAAATTTCAGGAACACCTCTGAGAGCTAGGTCCTTTTCTTCACGTAAAGAAATGAAATGGGCCTCCCTGGTGGCGCAGGGGTTAAAGTTTCAGCCCAACCAAGCTATCACCAGCCACTGCAGCTCAAGTTCGATCCCTGGCCAGGGAGCTGACCCAGATGGCCCAGCAGACCTCTCCTGTCTCCTGGGCTGTTCCCTGCAGCAGTGGGCTAGACAATCAATCCGCCTGTTCTATTCCCCACTCTGTCTCTGGTGAATCCTCTCACCCTCACACCTTTGGCCTGTACCCCAGTTCTTGTATGCATAAATAAATAAAAATCTTTTTTAAATTTATTAAAAGAAAAAAGAAATGAAATGTTACAGTGACAAAGGAAAGATCTAATTCTACGCTCTGAGTTGTAAATCATTATTCTATACTGAGCAATCACTAAGGAAGCTGGAGGAGGACCTCCCAAGGTCATGGGGTGACTAATGGTCATCCAGGTTGAGGTCATGTCCTTGTTCAGACACCAGCCCTGATGCATGAAGATTTGACCATTTTCTCATCCCCATCCCAATCTACCCAATAGAACTTTCATGTGACCTCCTATTCATCTGTCGCCTCCTTGTCTCTGCTCTGCCTGTAGCCAACAAGGTGTTGATAGTCTCTGGGTGCCTCTGGAGCAGGGACAGATAGTTTGCCCATGTGGGGGAACTGGGATGCAATTGTGATGACACCTGCTCCCTCCTCGGCCAGCTGGCACTTGCCAGCAGCGACAGTCCTCCATGGAGCATCCAGTATCCTAGCCAAGGAGACAGACTGGCATCAAAGGGTCACACCAGCACCGGATTTCTGTTCTAATAAGTGTGGAAGCAGGACAGGGACAGTGAGAGTGAGTCACAGGGCACCTGACTGAGCAGATGGGGTGAGCTGCAGTCAGGGCAGGCTTCCTGAGATGACAAGGTAGCCAGAGGGGACTCGAGAGTGTCCTTGGCGTACAGCACTAGGCACAGAGACCCAGCACCAGCAAAGAGTGTGGCTTTTCCAGGAACAGGGAGGGAAGAGAGTCTGAGTGCAAGGTAGGGGGAGCCCAGGATAGGTCTGGACGCAGGGATCCAGGACTATTTGGAGACTTGACATCTGTATGGGGACCTCCTCAAAGGTCACAGCAAATAAAATATAGCAGCTCCTTATTTTCTGAAGGAAGGACAAAAAAAGAAATTGTCTCCTGCGGATGTGTACCTGAGATGTGCACTAGGAAGGGTAAAAATCAGAACGGGCGTTGTTTTAAATAGGATAGCTGCAAGGGCAAGCGGCTGACACTGTGAACTCACTCAGGAATCGCTGACTCTGGAGCGCCAGATTGGAGCCTCTCTGGAGACCTGGTTTGAGTTCTCTTGACATGCCGGGACCTTGGTTTCTCCATCTGCGAAACAGGGACAATAAAAATTCCAGGCTCCTCTGAGGAGCCAGTGAGATGACCTGCACAAAATGGAAAAATCCTCAGCCATCTCGAAACTCTTTGCTTTGCATTCTGTATTAGCATAGCCCGAGAGCCTGCCACACGGCAGGCACCACCCAAGGACCCTCATGAATTCTCACTCCAGCCTCAGGAGGTAGGTAGCTATTATTTTTCCATTGTCCTGGGGCACGGGCACGTCAAGTCATTTGCTCAAGGTCGCAGGTGTCCTAGCTAGCGCAGACCTGGGACTTGGGCTCTGGCATCCCCATGCCCAGGGGAGAACGTGCAGCGCCCAGGGCGCAGCCTTGGTGCCCTGACCTAAGGAGAGGCTTGGCCGCGTGGGCACTTGCTGGGAGCGCAGCGGCAAGGGGTGCCCGAGGCCCGTGGGCGTCTGGACTCCGGGGGGCGCAGCGGCCGGCGCCCCTCGCGGGCGGATGCGCGGGGCGCCCCGCAGCCCCGCCCCGGCGCGCAGGTGCGCCCTCGACTGCGCGTGCGCGGCCCGCAGCCTCTGCAGTGCCGGGGCGAGCCCGCGGCCCGGGTGGGGAGAGTCGCGCCTTTACGCGCGGGTCACGTGGCGGCGGGGAGCGGGTTGCCAAGTGGCCTCTGCGCCGCGAGCGGGGCAGGTGGGGAGACAGATGCGGAGCGGAGCGGGGTGTGGCTGGGGTCAGGGGAGAGAGGGAGAGAGAGGCGTGGAGGCACCGAAACGGGCGCGTCAGGGAAGTTCCGGGGTGCACTTGCCTCCACCAGACCCGCGGTTGTCCAGGAGCCACTGGCGTGGGCCTGGCCCCTGACCACCACGCCAGCGGCGGCTCGGGAGTCCCGGGTCCAGAACCCGGGCTGGGCTGCACCTCCCTCCCTTCTGCATGGAAGCTGCGTCACCAGCTGCATTTCCCTGTGTTCGCCTCCACCCCTTCTTTCTGGTGTCTGGGCCTCCAGATTCTGCTGCGTTCTTGTGGAATTAGTGTCTGTCTAAGGAATTCATGGAGGCGCTGTTTATAAGGTTCCCCGGGAAGGCCCCAATAAATGTTAGCCATTAATAGCGTTAAAACGTGACATAACATGGAGCTGGATCAGTCGGTGAGAAATAGTATGGAGAATTCAGTCAGTGTCCTGCCTTTTTTGCTGCTGTAGATTCATTGGCAGAGAATGAAAAAGTAATTGTCTCCAATGCAGGCACTCCCCCAAATCCCCAGCACCCCCAGCCCTCCAACCTCCAGCAGCTGGGCCTGGACTTCGGTAAAATCCTTGAGACCAGGGATGAATTAACTGTGTGTGTGTGTGTGTGTGTGTGTGTGTGTGTGTGTGTGTGTGTGTGTGAGTGCGCGCCAGTATGTGGTGTCAAGAGGCTTTGTTTTCAAAAACCTGAGCGTGGGTCTCAATCTCAAAAACCTAAGCCAGGGCTGCAGGGGCAGGTAGAGGGACACTCCAGATGTGGCCAGCTGCCTCGAACATGTGTTCCTTACTCAGCTCCATCCAGTGTATTCCAAGCAGTGACCTTAGGTCTTGATTGTGAAAATTACATCTGACATTTTCTATTGCCTAAATGTTGCAATAGATTTTTCAAAAAATGTTAATAAACCACATTGGGGCCTCCCAGGTGGCGCAGGCGGTTGAGCGCTGCACTGTGAAGGTGTCCGCAGCCTCTGCAGTGCAGGTTTGATCCTGGCCAGGCGCGAGATACCCACATGGCGCAGCAGACCTCTTGTGTCTCACCTGCTGCTCCCCTCAGCAGTGTATTTCAGTCAGTCTGCCTGTTCTGTTCCCTGCTCTGTCTCCAGTGAAACCTCTCACCCTCCTGCATATAAATAAATATATAAATTTATAAATGCATAAATAAATAAATCTTTAAAAATAAATAAATAAACTACATTGGCCAAACCAAGCACATGTGAGGGCCAGGCTACCTGTAAGTGGGGAACTAATAATACCTCTTTCCAGAAGGAGAGGTTGAGAGGCACTGGCTCCTACCCACCCGCACAGCGCCCTCTAGTCGGCAGGGTGGGATGGGGCGGTGAGGGCTTGAATGTCTGAGCACCAAGGGTCAGGCCCTCTGCTCAGGGGCTCTGAGTGAGCAGGATGGGGGCAGCCACCTCTGAGTGGACCGGCAAGCTCTGTAGTGCTCTGAGAACAACTGATGTGGACAACTCAGTTTTGCCTGGACTGTGAAAGCCCCACAGCCCTGGCACATGGCTAGCAAAATGGGGAGAGCCACCCAAAAATGCCAGTGAGGCAGACAGTGGGGGCTAAAAGCTGATTCTATATGATTTAGAAAAATAAAGACATATGGTATTTTTTTACATCTTGGGCATCAGAGACCAAGTCATGCCTTTTACACATGAAGTTGCTGTGGGATCCCAGAAGGAGTTTTCACTCCAACTAGGGAAACCATTTTGTTTAGGTATGTTCGTTTTCTGGCTGGTTTGACCAGAAAACTTCATGTAACGGGTGGCATTTAAGCTGACACCAGAGACAGG